TCCCAGCTGCTTTATGGCAGAGAGAAAATTGTGAAGCGATCTAAATTTATTAGCAAATAATGGCATTCTATTTTAAACTAAAATATCAAATGCCAAAGAAAAGACTTCTCCTATGAAAAGCAGAGAAGATAGATAGTCTCATTCAGTTTCGTATATGGCTTTTCTCTGGTGTCTATTTCTAAGCTGTGTCAAATATCTACAAAGCCATCTGTTTCTGAGTATTTTTTGAAAAGAGGTAGAAACGAGCCCTAAATAGACACATTTTCATAGCAGCGTGAGTGAGGATAGTGTGTGAGGATAGGCTCACCCGCGAGGAAGCGACATTCCCGCTAACAATCAGACGACATTATGACACACTTGCAATATACGTCCCATCAATACGAGGCACTTGTGACCACAGCCATGGCCTTAAGGAAAAGGCCCTCATTTCTGGTAAAGTGAGGGTCCGTCTTCAATATATGCTGCACTACCTTGTTTAGTTTGTAGTACTCTTGCTGTGAAACAATAAATGGAACAATTTTAAAGTCTTTATCTCTTGATGGGACACCCGTATTTACATTTTTGCTGTGCTCGAGTTGTATTAGATGTAAAGGAGTACCAGTCTCTGTAATTTGAATTCGGTGCCTCCTCTACTCCCTTGAATGTTGAGTTCTGTAATTATGTGAAAATCACGTATGTTTGGTTCAGTGCGACAGCAGCTGTCTACTTCAAAATTTGTTTTGCTGTCATTAATGCGCCATCTCAAGCGTCTAGCGCTATTTGCTTCCTTCACAGTCGTGGCGGCCGCCACAGACTATCAGCCAGGAAGCGGTGATCGTATGATTTGGGAAAATGACTGCAGCTATCATGGAAACACCTACCGCCTAACGTTTGGGAACCCATCCACGTGTGCAACTTTATGTGTGGACGACTTGCAGTGCACACATTGGACATGGAAAAAGAAACATGGCGGTACTTGCTGGCTCAAAAATGGCAATGATTTAGATAAAATTACTAAGCAAGACGCAAAATGCGGCTTCATAGTGTTTCGGGACACAGATATGGAAGGCCAATTTCAAGCACCAGCCCAAATTTCTAAAGTTCATTCCAGCAACGGCCTTACCACCGCTGAGATGAAGGAGATGCTTGTCCGAATTAACACTTACCGAGCCCGAAATGGCCTATGCGCGCTCGCCATTAGCAAGCGATTAGAAGCAGCAGCATTTCTTCACTCGAAAGATCAGGCTAACCATTGCACAATGACGCACACTGGCTCGAATGGATCGCACTTAAGCGATCGTATTAAAAACCAGGGCTACTACTATTCAACGGTGGCGGAGAATGTAGCTGCTGGGCAAACTTCTGTAGAATCTGTAATGACCTCATGGTGGAATTCGCCAGGTCACCGTGCCAATTTGCTAAACAAGAACGTGACGAATGTCGGTTTTTCCAAAGTAGTGAACAACAATTGTCACAACTACGCAACGTACTGGACACAGGACTTTGGCGTCCTCATGCAAGCGGCTGCAGAGGATTTTGAGGTATAGTGGATTACTGTTTGTTCAGAATCGACCTTTTGTGGTTGAGATCCACCATGATGCTAGCAGCTAATTGCACTGATAATATGGTTAATGACAGGAGTAGCAGCGCAAATGTATATCTAATTAGAGCAAAAGCAGCCTAGAGAATGCTATGGCCATTCTCACTAAGTTACAATCCGCGATGTTGAATGTTTCGACTTTCGACAGATGGTGCAACTCTTAGAATTCTTCAGGTGATATTAGTCCTTTTAAAATCTATAGTCACAACTGGCGCTACGACGAGTGAGTGGGTGGCATAGGTTGCACATTCGCGGCTCATTCGACAACCGCAATTAAATATTTAATTGCTTTTGCTATTGACCTTGAGTTATACAAGCTTACTGATACAGATCAATTACTACTTAACTCCGGATGTTTTGGACCACGCCTTTCCATATTCGCAATATGTAGCGTTCAAGAGGTCACGAAGTATAGCACACTGTGTCAGTCGGCACTTTCTATACAAGAAAAAAGTAGTCGGTGTCTTAATGACCTAATTGTATCAGAAAGAGCCACAATGGCATCGACAGACTCTATGACAATGCAGCAACCAGCTGTTCACCAGTTTAGCGTAGCGCTTTTGTAGAGCTACAAAGCAATGAGATTGAGGGGTGAGTGCCTGATCGAACTAATGTCTGTCCTCTCCGTCACTCATCAATTGTCGAACACCAGGTCTTTACAGCGACTATGTTTCATATTCGTGCATGCTTGCTGTTTACTATCGTCGTCGCAGTAGAATCAGTAGACTCTTCCTCAGCGTTCCGAATCGGCAGTCAAGGCCGCGTCATGTGGCAGGATGATTGCGACCTATATGGCAACGACATTAAATCGATCCGCGGCATCCCTGACATCTGCGGTGATCAGTGTGTTGGCAACTCAGAGTGTACTCACTGGTCTTGGACGCACTTTGATGGTGGCACCTGTTGGCTAAAAAGTGGCAAGTCAGCCACCGTTTCAATGTTGAGGGGCTCGAACTGTGGCTACGTAATTGATCGCTTCACATGCTCCGACTCGATCACAACAGGCAAACAAAGCACAGAGCAGAATGCTGTCGAGAAGACGTATACGAGTGGTCAAGTGACGCCCGGGTCAGGTTTGACTTGGCATTCCTGGTCGTCCTTTTCGAACTTTGGGAGCCAAAATATAGCACCCAAAACCGGATTTACTTTTGAGGCGCCAGCTCCCCCAAGTTTCCAGACTGAGCAAACTGATCCAACTCCTAAGACGCCAGCTCCCCCAAGTTTCCAGACTGAGCAAACTGATCAAACTCCTGAGGCGCCAGCATATCCAACTTCTCAGACTGAGCAAACGGATCTAACCCCGCAAACGTCGTCCGACAATGGACTTACCAGTGCCCAATCATCAGAAATGCTGGGCTCTTTAAATTCATATCGCGCTCAAAACGGACTTGCCGCATTGACTATCGACTCTCAACTTACGGCAGCTGCCTTAGTTCACTCAAAAGATCAGGCCTCGCAATGTGCAATGTCGCACGATGGTTCGGACGGATCCAAGCCTTGGGATCGAATTAAAGCTGCGGGCTATGACTGGTCTGTTGTTGCGGAGAATGTAGCAGCTGGTCAGGCCAGTGTTCAAGAAGTCATGACGGCATGGTGGAATTCTCCGGGTCACCGAGAAAACATTTTGAAGAATGACGTTACAAACGTCGGATTCGCATTTGTATCCACCACTTCCTGTAGCGAATTCAAGACGTACTGGACGCAAGAATTCGGCGCTAGGTAGAGATTCATTTCGGATATGCATGGCTATGTGGAGCTGTATTCATGTTGCAAGATTGATTGTAAGTCTTGTAGTGAGAGTTTATGTTGTATAACTTTTAAAAGTGATGTAATCAAACATCATATATCGTTACCGTATCTACGCTTCTTGTCAGCGTGCAATTGAGTGGTCTTGGGTGTTCGTGCGCGCCGTGAGCGGCATGTGTAGTCGTGAGTGAATTGTTGCCAGCAGTATTTGGAATGGCTACCTTGTCGAACATATCGAGTTTAATCGATATGCTTTTTAGAAAAAAAGCATTTTTATCAAGAATGAAACTCACTTCCTTTAAATATAGCTAAAAAGGCCAAAAGTAGTCTCATTCTAAATGCAGAAAAGGCATATGTAGGTGGATTAATTCACAAACTCCTCCGTTCAAAACGTAAACTGTGTTTTATTTACGGCAGAGCCTAAATCTAAAGGTTTCCCTATTTAAATAGCAAAACCTAATTAATATACGTTAACTACTGGCAGTCCCGCCACGTAGTGGCTTCATGCAGCGGGGCTGCCGTAGCTCATTGCTTTGAGGAAGCTAAGCTAAGGTCACCGACCTTATGTTCGCTTTACAATGGCCAGTACAAATGTAGCGGATCGCAATCCACTGCCTCCAAGAGTATGCAAAACCTAAATTAAAGTAAAGAAGCTCTTTTATTTAAAGTTGAAGCTGTTCAAGTGTCTTAAGCGCGGCAGAGCCGCCAATATCCAAAAATCTTAGGTTTTCCAAATTATTGTAGTAGCACCTGATTTATATAGTAAAATCTAATCAAAATGCAGCACTACTGGCAATCCTGGCACGTAGTGGCTTCTTGTTACGGTGTAGCCACACCACTGAGTTTTGACACCAACTTGTGTAATTCACACCCATGTACGGTCACACCATCTTGTGTGATCCGCCCTTTCATACAAGGGTACGTGTAACCCCGTCACACTCTCCCCCATCAGAATTGTGAAAATCCACAATTCACACATAATTGTCGCCTCATCGAGGCTCGCGTGTCTGAGAAACCGTTACTTCCTTAACCACATCCTTCAAAATTCTTTAAGCCCTGTGTCAATTACACGCGAACCACCCAGCCTAGCTGGTTCTGAGAACGCCCGCGGGCAAAGCCCTTCTTCTTTTTGTGCACGGGTTGCATCTTCGGTCGATACGTCCACGGCTTCCGGAAGTACATCCCAAGCCCTCGGCAACCGAGCGCCACACACCGCGCCCGCCCCGGGCGTTTTTTCTTGTCGATGAGTTAAAGGAAGTCGAATACAAGTCGGATATACATTTCCCGACATGGGAAGTCGAGGAGGATGAGGTGCGCCAACGGCGCGACGTGAGCCCAGCTCGAACCATACGGGCACCGTGTCCATTCAAGGACCTCTCGACTTCCAATGGAAGTAGTATTGTTACCATTTGCCTCGACGAGGCACAGGAGCAGCAATTAAAGGCTGCCCACAGGGCAGCTCTCATGTGCTCGTATCTACATTTGGTCTAGACCCTCGTGAAGCGTATGGCTTCCATTCGGCGGATCTCGCTACTGAAGCAAATGACGCGATCACTCGATCGTTAGGCATCTACGTAGTCGGGTCCTCGGCCACCACACAAGCTGGCTTGACCAGTGGAAAGCTCTCCGCGCTCGCTTCTTGATACCTCAAAAAATTTCAATGGATAGGTTTCGCGATCAACTTCGAGCTCAAAGAAGACGCGCTCCTGTACCCGTGATGCGGAATATTCCTGTTGTTCTTGCCCGATGTGAAACCGCTGCAGATGATGAGAAGCTCTTTGAGCGACGGGTGCAGCGGCACCAGAAACTTTCCTCGCTGTCTACCTTACAGCGAAGCCACAAGAAAGTGGACGTTCGCGCTGAGTGTCATCTTTGATTTGAGTTTGCGGAACTCAAGGCGCAACGCCGTCTTCCTGTGTTTTGTCGCCCTGCGACACATGAAATCAT